TCAGTAGAATGTGAGTCATTCGTAGCTGATGCGCTCTTAACAGGGGACTGCAGTTTCAGTTTTGGCCACCAGACTGTTTTTATTGAGAAGCCCCTTATAAGTGTCTTGCTACAAATCTGCAGAGTTCACGGTACGCCCCTGTACCCTCTGGATGTGTGGCACACCGAGGGGCTGAGGCAAGTCAGAAGCTAAACTGGAGGTAGATCTCTTTCCTGACTTTAGCAGGGTAAGAATGTTGCCTGTCCTCATTCCAACAGCAGTCAATTGTTTTATGGGCTAAACCAATTTGGTGGCAGAAAATGTGCCTCTGAACGGTTTAAACATTACCTGGCTTTTCCTCAGACTCCTGAAGGGGAAGAAACAGCCCAGTTGCTAAGGTAACCCAGCTGATAAGGACAGCATACGAACAGACAGCCACAGGTACAAGAGTCACCTGCCTTTGGACTTCTGCCCTTCACCAAATGCAGAGCAGAATCAAAAGCAATGGGCAGGGTGGGGCTCTGCGGAGAAACAGCAATGCTCGTCCTAAGCTGCTTGTACAAATAGGATAGGTCTGCCTCAGACACGCTCAGAGGGAACCTGGACCCTAATGGGTTTTATTGGGACCCAAGTGCAACAGGACAGGGAGACCTGGGGGGAGTGCAGCTGTACCTGCCACTGCTCTCCAGCCTTTCACATTTGGTAAACATCTGTACTGGGCAGTGCTCAAGTAAAGGGGTAGTGCAATCTGTATCCCAAAGTTTCAGGGCCAGTGGTTGCTGTGGATTAGTGAACAAACCTTTTAATCCCAGAGAGCTAGTATAGAAAAAGACACTGGCAGCTGGAAATCCCAGGAACTCGCTCAGCAATGTTTTTCTCCCTCACAAGAATCATCCAGAATTGCATTAGTCAGTTTTAAGCGACTGAATCAAAAGTGAGGTAAATACCAGCATGTCATTAGATGAATCGGGATGGTTCTAAGCCAACCTCTATGCGATAAAAGTTAGGACAAAACCAACCCTGTTGTAGTCAGATAATCCTGTAACCGCCTCTTGTGGGGATTCCTGTGTCTTCCTTTACGCAACTGACAGGTATCTACCTGGTCAGATCTAGTATGTCAGCTCCCATTTGCCTGCATGCTAACAAGCTGAGGTGGACATGGGTATCTGAAAAAAGGACATTTTTGACACCTAAATAAAGTTCTGTGGTGAAAACCTGCCCTGGCTGAAGTCAACAGCATTGCTCCCACAGAAAGCCATGGGCACAGAGCTTCAGGATGGCTGCAGGAAGCGTTTCAGGTGGCTGCAGTGCACGCCGCAGCAATGACACGCTATGAACGCCTGCCAATGCAATAACCCCTGCCTCTCCTTCTACCTTGTGGAAATACCTTTTGTGAGATATCAAAGTCCTAAAATAACAAAACTCTCCCAGTCAGAGGTGTACGGGCAGTGGAATTTCCATTCTTCAGAACAGCTAATTTCAGGTGCCTCTCTTGAATTGAAACTGCAACTGCGGTTAAAAAACTCCCCAAAATAGGAAAAAAGATAAAAGTATAATTTTTTTTCCTCCACAGAGTGAAATCCTTGGCATCTATCTTTGGGGAACCAAGATGAAATATTTAAAAAATTCAGAGCTAAAAGTAAGCTGGATAGACTGCCTGCTTGCTACAGTCCAAGTTAGGAGCTGACTGCTAATAAACACTGTTGTTGCTTTGAATTAGCAGTTCCAGTGGGGAAAACTGTCCATTACACTGCTCTGCTAAACTGGCCTTCTGAAGTATTTGTACTGTTTCAGGTGGTGTCATAGTTAGATGGCTATTGATGTCTGAGTTAGTTAGCTTAACCCTTGCTTGATGTATTTACAGAGGATTCAAGTCAGTCTTTGGATCACCCAAACACAATGGCTTCTAGTTCTGACACAGTTATGGAGAAGACTCACTCATATTGCCTTGAGAAGATAGCTAAACATAATTTTTAAAATCAACTCTAGCCATTGATGAATAATGTATGGGACCTTAATGAGTAACATAAAGATACTTTACGCTTCGTGCTTTGCTAGAAAACTGTAAAATGGCCTTAGAGGAAAAGAGGATAAGACCTTAAACTTGAAATTCTTTGCTGTAAAAGGGAAAGTGCTTTACCAGTAAAATTAATATTTTGAGAAACGATATTAAATAGAAAGGTAAGAAAGATTAGTCAGCTGTTGAGCTGAGGTCATTATTTTGTCTGACAGAAGTCCAGAGCTCTATTGATGGACCTCCTGAAAAGAGAGTATTTGTGGATAGCAGCAAGCGAAAACATTGTTTTCTTTCTTAGCACCAAGTAATTGCATGCAGCATTTAAAAACAGACTCTATCTACAAGTAAACAGGTTTATGAGGCTGTGAGGTATCTTAAGTCCAGGAAGAATTCCTTTTACAATTTAAAATATTTGAGCTGGGAATAGATAGAACATGTTTTGGAGCTCAGCCCAACGTTTTAGTCAGCAGCCCATGGGGCTTCCCTGGTAGATGCTCCTCTTTGCTATCTTCCCTGAAAATCACCTGCATGCAAATAGTTAGGCCAGTAGAAAGTCAAGGCTCTCTTCTCACCAGTGTAAGCAGGTAAGTACTTAGCTCCGGCACTGGACTATTGGTAACTCTTTTCATTACCCAACCCATCAGTCTTCCCCATCCATAAAATGGAAATAACGCCGGTGATTTTTAAAAAGCTCCTTTAAACAATACATCCGTATATTTGCAGTTTAAGAGCCAAGTGTTACAATTTTCAAGGTCTCTCTCAAATTGAAGTGGCGAGCCACAGTTGGTCAAAAGCCACCATGCTAACTATAGCAGTGTCAGTGAATATGTGGACACTCAGGTGGAAAATAGATTTATGCTGACATAAAAATGAAATGCTCTTAAAATGAAATCACTTAATGGCAAGAGCCCTAAATTGAAGACTGTGAGATGAAGAGAAGAAAGTAGAAAGGTGTGTACTTTCTTTCTAGGGGGCCTAAGTATGCTGTCTTCGAGTACAATAGCACCAATGAAGTTGACCTTAGGTATGAAAAGTGGGCTGCCTAACTTTTTGGTAGTAACCTGGGTTTTGTCACCTTTAAATTGGCTGTGAGCCCTTTATAGGGTCCAGCTACAGTCCAGAACCTATTACAACCCCTCCAGAATAGCACTAGCTTGTGCCTGTAGAGCAAGTGAGGCTTGTTGGTGTTTACAATTAAAGGACATGGGGTACTGATAGACTACACTGACAAATTTATCAGTACAAATCAAAGATGCGAGCAACCACCAGCTATGTAATCTCCAGCCCTCAGCCGTAAGGCACTGCTCTCATCTGAACTGAATGCTTGAGTACACCTCAGGTCTTTTTGCCATGAAATACCTCACCAGCTCTTTCAGACGTGCCACCCATGCTGGTGGGTCTCAGCAAAGCCACAAGAATGCAGGTGAAAGCAGCTAAGCATTCAAATATAACCTGTGTGTGACACTTTAAACTGCTCCACACATTTGCCAAGCAACTGTGTTACGCCCAGACATCCATGGGCTTGGGCTCTGCTGCTCTACAAACAACATAGGGACAGAAAGGACGTGAGAGTATTAGTTATAGGGCTGGTGTCACTGGACCTAGTGCACAATGTGCAGAAATCAAAGAATCCCAATTATGTCAGAGAAATACTGGGTTTAAAATAAAAACATATACAACCACCCACTCCCCATATTTTTTCTTACATTGTTTTTAGTCTAGACTTCATCCTTAGAGAACGTTTCCTTCTTAAAAATAGAAACTAACAACCGCCCTGATCTTCCAATAGTACTTCATGGAAAGGAAATCTTCAGTGAAGCAACCAGTAGGGTATCTTCTCTGCCATAACATTAAGTATATTTCTTAACTGGCTGAGAATTGTGTGGGTAATGAAAAATCAAAAGGAGAGACACAAATGCCAGCCAGGCAAAAATGTCAAAAGATTAATTTCTGTAACCCATCTCTCCATTATGTGAAAGGATCATGACCCTTGTTGTGCTTGATGTTTGACTAGATGGTGAGATTTGTACCTTTTGAATTTAAAGTGATAAGTCTTAAGAAAATAGAAAATCTTTCTCATTAAAGCTGAGGCAGCACCACATCTGTAACAAATTTAAGGCATGTAAGGACAAAAAAGAACAAGGTGTTTTAAAATGTACCTCTGTGGACATGTGCATTACCCCACAGGAGCTGGGTATCACATTAGCTGCTGCTGACATAAATGCATGGAATGTTTTTGGGTGTGGTGTGCATTTACATCTCTCACAAGAAATTAGTTACTGGGGCATTCAGCATATTTCTGAAGTGGTTAGATTCCCCTTCCCCCTCTCCCTGTCTATTTACAGTTCCCTTTCAAGTACAGAAAACATTTTCTGTAACCTCAGCTTCCTGATTCATCTGTTGTGATGTCAGTTATTTACGATAACAAAAGTGAGACAATGCCTGTGGTTTGCGTGGGACAAAGGCAACCTTGTTTCTGTAAAAAGGGACAATCCTAGTGTGAGAAGCACAGGAAAGCTATGAAGTAGGACTCCAAGGTGATATATCATTAACACTGCCATCTCCGTAATAGTGGGTTCAACACTGCATTATCTGAAAGGCCACTGACAGAGGGTTTTTTCCTTCCCATAGGACTGGACACTAATGTGAATGCAGCTCCCGGAAAATTACCTCTTTGGGAGGCAAGGCTTTGGCGATAGGTATCTTGGGAAACAAATGGATTGCTAGTGGGTAGAGGCAGTGAGTGTCAGGACACAAATGTTTCAATACCAATTACGCATTCTGTGGTCACAAGCAAGTCACTCTGCATCTTTGCCTACCTGCAATGAAACTGGTTTAATCACATTTAACTGTCTAAACCACAGTTGTGGTGAAACTTGCAGAATGCCAGTAAACTCTTGAGGTCACAGGACAGCAAAAGGAAACGAGAAGCTCTTAATACACAGCACGATTAGTTATGAATGAAGGGCATCAACTTTGGTGTGGCCTAGAAAATGTCACTTACCTGCTATTCTTCCAATTGGCATTGCATGGTCCTCAGGAGGGGATACAGACACCATGATGTGGTTCATATAAGCTAACTCTTCTCGGTGGGACAGGTTGATTGGCTTTACCTCCCTGTGCAGCCCATCCTCAGACAACCTTGGTGGTTTGAAATCGGAGTGCCTGGGGTTCAGTATCAAAGGATGCATGATAGGGCTGGGCATCAGCTGGATGACCCTGGTGTTCTCCTGGCGAGGACTGGAGGGCTTCTGGAGCACCTCAGAAGGAGGCGGGCAGTGGTTGTTTTCTATTGGGGACACTGAGAGAGGATAGGGCTCCTGGTGGTTATTCTCTTGCTGATGCCTTGTCCCTGGCACTCTGTCGGCTGGGGAGAGGCGACGGATAGTGTTGTCCATAGGGGACTTCAGTGGCCGCTGATCGGGATCTGGCGATGGACGGTGGTTGTTGGTGATGGGTGATCTAGAACGATGCAACAGTTCAATGGTTGGGGGGTTGTGGTGGACTGCTTCTGTTGATGGTCTTGAAGGTCTCTGGACAAAGCTGTCTGTGGAGAAAAAAAACCAAACAATAGAAAATACAGATTGTCTATATTGTGATCAAGGTGTAGGATCTAAGTATCAAACGGCTGTCTGGGCTTACTGGGTACTGCTGTCAGCTTGGAAATGTTTTCATTTGTGTGACCTCAGATGCCCAGAAAAATGCCATATAGATGCAGATATTTATTACTACACATAATGAAATCAGTACTGTGAAAACAGTCTCCCTCCACCACCACGTAATGGTGGTTCCTGGGGAAACGTGTTAAGAGAAATCCCATTTTGAGAAGCTGACTGGAACAAACGTGAAGAAGGTGAGATCTGATTAAGCTGTACCAACTGTGTTTCTGTGCAAATGCTTTGAAACTTATCTCCTCCCATTCATGGCTCTACATGAGCACTGTAAGGTAGAAGGCACAGATAAAAAGTGAAAATATCTCCAGGAAAATACCAGGTAGTAAGTTTTAGATGGTAGACGCTTGGGTCAAGGTAGAGAATATCTTAGTCTGAAATACAGACCCCACTGGTAGGAAGGTCTTTGTGAAACACTAGCTAAATTTTATCCCTGCCTTGATTTTAAGAGCATGTAACATCTTCGTAAGTATATTTTCACCTTTTTTAATTTAGTCTGTGCTGTCTACTGATGGGTTGTCCCA